TTGCTGCACATCTGGCCCCCAACATCTAGTTCTTTGCCTAAGAGCCAATATTTTGTCAGTCCTCTGCTACCCTCTTCTGGGCATTGTGGTGCATTTCCATCCTTCATCCCTTCCCATGCCAATCCTTTGAGTGGGCTGAGAACTCCCCAAGTTCTCAGCCTGCCCTAACCCTTCATCACATCCCAAGAAGAGCTGTCTCCTAAAGACTCTGTCAGTGAAATAATACTATGAAATTCAGGCTGATGGGAGTGGGTGAGGGCAGGGAGAGAGGAAAGGTGAATATGGGGATGTTGATCACATCACCAAATACTAGGACTAAAGGGCCCCCAGATAAAACTTGGGAGAGAGGTGCTGTAAAAATGTTCTATAGGATCTTTTTGAGAAAGTCTCCCTGGACACCAAACAACAGCTAAAATGTCCCTTCCTCCAAGAAGTTTTCCACAATCCTTCTGATCAATACCTGCCTTCATCATCAGATCCCACCCAGATCCCTACTGCACTTTTTATGAAATATTAGGTTTTATAGTTATCTCTCTCCTCCTTCTGCTGGACTGTAAGCTTCATGAGGCCTGAGACCAAGTCTTGACTAAGACTTTGTATCTCCCCAATGCCTGTGCAAAGCTCTGTACAGAGCAGGCTCTTGACAAATTTTTACTTGACCTGAAATCAAGTCAGGACTCCAGCACTGAGCTCCAGAAGGATTTTGAGTGAGGTGTCCTTCTAGAAGAACCAATGAAGTCTGCAGTGGCCAGGATGGCTGCTTAGCAAGTATCTGGAGACACAGGGGGAAGAGGCAGAGCCCCTACTTTCTCAAAGATGGGCATGAGAGGGGCAGACACCCACGGTGTGGGATTTAATCCTTCGGGTGCGCTGTAAGGCAGAAGGGAAGGAGAGCGAAAGGAGAGGGGGAGGGAGAGAGATGGAAAGGGAAAGGGGAGCGGGGAAGAGAAAAGAAAGAGGAAGGTGAGAAGAGACAGAGGGAAGGGGGAAGGAAAGAGAAAGTAAAAGGAAGGGGAGGAAAAGGGAAGGGGGAAGAGAGGGAAAGTGAAAGAGGAGGGAAAGAGGTATGAGA